CTTTCTGCTGGATGTTGATCGAGGGAGTTTATCTCTACCTGTTTGTTGTACAAGTTTACAACATCAACGACAAGATGAAGGTTTCACATGGATTTTCATGGGGTAACTATTAATTAAAAACCCATTCTCTCTTTGATAATCTTTTGAAAAGTAAAAGATGAAAATTGCCATCAGCATCTTAGACATCATCATCGTCATTTGACTCTGTTGTCCCTTCGAATTTCGAATCCACAGGTCTACCCGCTCTCGTCGTTTCCATATCGCTGGGCATTGCAGTAGGAACCGGGCCGGGGATTAAAAGCTATGTCAGTGAGAAGTTGTAAGAAATAAATGATTTTTTTGTCAAGCGATTTCTGTCACGAATCCTGTTTTTTTGTTCTTTTTTTGTTTTTTTTTTTGTTTTTTTGTTTGCATTGTTTTAAATTGTTGTTTTTGTCTAAAGGTTGGCTTGTTTTTGTTGTTTTGTTATTTCTTTGTTGTTTTCAGTTGTAATCAAACATGGAAAGTACTGCGTACATGCATGGGCAAAAAAATAATTAATTGATAATTTATCAAAGTTTCGTATAATTAATTTTTATTCAGCTGCTGGATGTCATCCTCTAACGGCATGATCTGGATATTTGTTGTATTCGTTGTGCTGATTGAGTTGGTAAGTTAAATTCCTAAAGATTTTCTTTTGTCATTTTCATCTTTCACGCTTTGCTTTCAGGTACCTTTGCATCGTGAGAATTTTCCCCGCCGCTCTTTTTAACCTCTTTGACTCTGTTCAATAGTTTTCAACAAAACATGAAATATATGAAGGATACATTTTGCTTGAGGTGAACCCTATCGTTGGGAGATGCCGTCAGCGGTTACTGTGCAAGGTTTTTAGGTTGAAAGTCCTGGTTCGAGTCTCTACTGGGTTATTGTGTTGTTTTGTTGGGCGAAACGTTTTGCGTTCATAATGATTTTAGCCATCTCCTTCCAGCTGTATAAATATTTACTAACGAATGGTCAAGGACACCTCAAAAATGTCTTGCGGAATGCTAGGGAAGGGGAAGGGTTAAAATTTTGACGACCATCCGCTAAGGCAAATAGGACCACTTAGCTCAAGTGCAAACTCCTGTTTCCTTTGTAAAGTTTGATCATTTTTAGACTTTGTTCTGTTTTGTTTTTTTTCATTCTTATCACTTTTTTCAGTTAAACACATTGATACTGATACGAGTTGTCAAGGAAATGACGATAATGCAACATGTAAAAGACAAACTCAGCGAACAAATAAGGTAAGTATTTCAGCGGCGCCAGTGGTAGGTTCATATAAGTCATTAACCTCACACTTTGCTGCCTTATACGACTAATGTCAACTCACCAACAATTGTAAAAGCAAATTATCTTGATTTTCTTTTTTTTCCTGATTTTATAGGCTTGGTGCCAGGGCATGCGTGGTGATGATTCCTTTGCTAGGGATCACGTGGCTATTTTGGCCTTCTTTCGCCCCTGCATAAAGCGTTTGCGTACACTTTCACAATTTTCAACTCTACTCAGGTAAACTGAATACAGCTTTTGGTGAATGAAATCCGTGCTCATACGATACCAACGTAAAAGCAAATTCTACAGCAAGTTGTACTAGCCCTTCCTTACAAGTTTACCAGGTGGTAAACTTAGTGTAATACAGAAACAAAGAAGAGAACTTGTGATCAATAGCAGTAAAGGTTTGGACATTTTTGCTGCCCAGTAACATTTAACACTGAGAGGCTTAGGGTTAGGGGGGCTTGTATGAAAGCACTTTGAATCTACCAAAGGCGTTGATGGGATTTCTGAAATTGCGATTTAACACGGCTTCTTAATATTCCTCCTTCACTGTGTAGGAAACTCAGAGGTAGGTTATCAAATTTTATTTTAAGTCTCTTTGTAAGCTTTAGATTTTTGCTCAGATTTTTACTTGGCAAGGCTTCCACTTTGAAATAACAAATTAAATTCGATGACTGTATGTATGCGAAGCACATAGAGTTGTAGAGTTCTTGAGATCGTTTTGATATCAACTTATTGATGCAGATTATATCTCACTTCAAAAGAAGGATCAATGCTGTCAACCCAACTACAGATGAAGTAACAGGCGTTAAGCGAGCTTCGCAAGTAAATGAAACTATCAGCGTGATACTGCCAGGAAAAATTAATGTCCAGCCTCCTAATAATCATGAAAGTGGCATTGGAATCTCTGAGATCTGAGTCGTCATCATAGTGCTGTTCCTTGGCTTAGATCTGTGTATATCTTAAGTAAAGAAAATTCTAGAGCAGGTAAGAATAACCAGCTTCAGAAGGCCCTGACACCTTTGTATCTATCCGAAAAGTAATAAAAGAACGTCTCAAGTAATCGGTATTTACGGTTTCCTCCTTGTGGAAAAAAGAACATCGGATATAGTTGTGATAAGAAGGGTCTACATCCAAGACATCAGTTTACAGAATGAAGAAACTATTATAAGCCACCACAAATTTTACGGCCCTCACCAAAAAGGAAAACACATTACGCATACCAATGGTAATCAAGATATTATTACTCTCAATACAGACAAGGATTAAAGAAAAAGAAAAGAAACAAAAAAAAAACTATGAATAGGTTTTTCTCTTGGCAGTCTCGTTTTTACCTGTGTAATTGTTTGAGAATTTGTCCCTTGGGAGTGGCGGTTGAGAAATATCTCCTCATTACCTCTATGAGTATCCACTCTGATAAGTCCTCCTGAAACACGCACGACAGCTTGAGAGTTGAGCATCGGACTTTGAAATTTTGGCAATGGAAATTAATCCATTCAAAAAGCTTTCTCAATTTGTCATATGTCCAAAAAAAAAAAAATTTTTTTCACTTCTTCGTTTAAAAGTACATAATTAATAACATTTTAATGAGGAACGTGTAATGCCTCGATCGAATCTTTTCGTGGAATAACAGAAAGAAATTTCAAATAATCTCGACGTAAGCCTTTTGTTGTTAATAAATGAACAATCAACCCTCTTTACGTGCTATATTTTCGTGGTTTTAATTTTACATGTTAAAATACGAGCAAAAGAAACAACAGTGCTAACTTGTAGTAATTCTCAGAGGAAGAGAAGTTTGCACCAATGATGATAATCAAATTACGATTCATTTAGCAACCTACTTTTCAGTAAAGATATAACAAGAAACCAACCATGAAGGGCTTCTCTAACCAGGGTGTACTCGTGCGAATTCCATGCACTGAATCAAAAAGAGAAATTTGCGACGTAAACAGCGACATAATTGAATGAAATGTCGTAACAGTCCCCCAGAGCTCAAAACCCATTTACCCAAGGGGAATAGGCTAAATATTAATGTCTTCATTGTCGTTTCCATGTGCGCATAAGAAAGGTGTTGAATTACATGAAATATCTACTCACAAAAAAGTATCTCTTTCTAACTGTTACATTGTCTCCTCTTATAATAAGCTGATTTTAACAGCATGCAAGGATATTGCTTGGTCATAAACGTAATGAAAACTCCTCAAAAGCACCAACCTGCGTAATCAGACCTGGCTGAGTTCAACATTGTCATTTCCCTATCATTTATTTCCAGGTAGCTTTATAGGAATAAGATAAAGTCTTGTTATTTATTTTCGTTCCCTTCTTGTTATTTGAGGTTGTCCAGAGTTGAAGGGCATTCAGGAGGAAAAAACTGGCAAAAAGGCAACGTTATATCTTCACACATAGATCCATACTAAAACACAAAATACAGATATTCCTGCAACAAAGTGAAAAAGGTTATGGAGAATTGTACATAATTCATTGGCGAATTTGAGTCCCTGATAACTGACACTAAGGTCAATCGAATGCTTGCATAATAGAACCTCGTTTTTCGCCTGTTCACGGCGACGCTTTTCAGGTGATGGCTGGGGATTCTTGGGACAGCATCCTCCTCCAGCTTGTACTTCGCGGATGTTCGAAGCATCTCGGACTTGAGGTCCCGTTCGTAACAATGTCCTTCGAAATGTTGATTACAAACGCGTAGGTCTTTCGTGACAATGAAATCTGCCTGAGATATCTTTTTGCCAGTCATTAACCTTTGAAGATTTTGGTTAGTGGTTGCTAAATCTGTGTTTCAGCTTTACTCTTAAAAACTGGTACTTACATCAAATTATGCTGTACAATAACATATATAAATAAATTACTTACGGTTAGAAACTAAATTATGTAGGTAGAAAGTATCCTCCTATTCCTTTCGTGCTATTTCGTGGGAAGCATTGTGAATGTCCACACGGTTGATCTCAGAGAAAGCCGTTAAAAACACCAACTCTCTCTCAAAATGAAATTCATACTACCCCAGAACAAGCTCACTTTGTGCCTGAGTACTACTGAGCTGATAAGGTTTGTAAATACCTTTTATATATGAAACTATCGACTGTTTAAAACATGATAACTGGGGAAATTAATAGAACGTGGACGACCATATAAAACCGTTTATGCGAACACTAAATACAAAAAGCACAGACATATTTACCGATCAATTTATGACATCTAAGCCTTGGCTGAAGCCAAACAGATTCAGCAGGAAACATGCTTTATTATTCTGTTCTCGAATGTAATCCCCTTAAGAAGCCACACAACTTTGACAAACCTGCTACGCATAAGTTTTGAAGTAAGAGTGTCTCAGGTTTCTGATCTTTCTTCCCACCACTGACGAAATATCAACAGTAACATCATTTTTTTGAATGAGCCGCGATGTTACTGTGTCAAAACACGGTATGAAAAAATATTTCCGAATCAAAGTTAAGCCGAAAAGATTAAAAAATAAAAAACCGTTCAAACATTGATATTTAAAGTGAAGCTGCGATATAAAAACTCTTCAATTTTCGGCTGCAGTTCCCCTTTAAACATCAATTTTGTTTCGTGATTGCCTTGTTTATGCCTTCTCTCCCAGTCCCCAGCCCCATTAATAACTAATCGAAAAAGATACATCCTCGTATCTCAGAAAGCAATTCATTTTCTTATCACGTAATGGTAGAGTCAGGAGCAAATGGATAAATTTTATCTTTAATTCGCTGGTTTCAGCTTAATTCTTTTTGTGACATTTGTGATATCGATTTCTGAGTACCTTAGATATTAAGAAGTGCTACAGTAACGCAAATCACAAGTAGGTGTTCCAGATATATGGTAAACGTAGAAAGCGCCACAGTTTCTCACTTTGATGTATTGTGACCATTCACAGCACCCGGAACTCCAGTGAAAGCAGACACCTCTGCTGACCTGACCATCAACCACTGAGGGATGGCCACCAGATAACCAACCGGTTGCAGAGGTGCCACAATGGTTAGTACTTGGACATGAAGTGGCCATTCTAGTTCCTGCTCCTCCTTGAAAACGATACCAGCCTGAGAGTCCATTGTCACAATAATAATGATTACTCCTGTAGGTCACCTGCCTGGTGCCATCCGTCAGACTTTGGTAGTTTTGACATTCTAAGGAAAGACAGAGAGCAATGAACTAAGGCATGCAAAGCTCAGTCCGCCACTCAGGTCAACAAATATAACATAGCAAAGCTCAAACAAAGATTCTTCCCAACAATTGTATTCCAACCATTTCAAGTATTCTTTTGTATACATACAATCTCAATAGCTCGGTCAAAAATAGCTTATCTTCAAAAACATTAAGTTAAAAACGAGCTGCATGATATATCATTGTCCCAGAAATGAAGGAGAGGCTAAATTTGATTTGTAGGTCAGATCGATATCCATTCTTCGGATTGGTTTCACAAAACCCTGTGTTTAGATCTCTTTTATAAGTGACCTTCTTAGCCTTACCCAGAAAGAGAGTTTTCGTCATTATTTGAAAAAAAGAATGTGTACGATCTTAAAACAAAATCCTCCATCGAACAATATTCCCCAATAATTTTTACCATTCTAAAGAAGAGTCCCCAACGTTGTAAAGCCTCAGCTGAAGTCAGAAAGCTCGGTTTTGTTTTCAGTCGTAATTCGTATTGCGTTAGGGAATAAAGTATCGTCAGCTCCAACGCTAATTCCGTCGAAAGAGCTACATTCCCATTGTTTTTCGAAAACGTTATCGTTTAGCATATGTAATATGCATTCTGTGCTCCAAAATGTCAAAATATCAATGGGGATTGAGCGGAAAAAACAATGTTGACAGCTTTGAAACTTTGCGGCTAAACTCAACAGGAATTTGCAGCAGAAGTGAGACTGCACACGTCATGTTATGGATGCACGACCGTGCAGTACATGAGGATTTTTTACCACAGTAGCTCCTCGGGAAGGAGACTTTTTGCCATATAATGTCATGACTCAAGGGAATTGCAAGTTGTTCAGTTGTGTGTCATTTAATCTCTTCTTAGCTGTTGTTCTGATGCAGTATCTCTGCATAAAAACGAGTTGGAACGAAAAGGGTAGGACTCCACCGTACGATAAAGGAAGCGGAATGTAGAGCCAGGAAAATCGGCCCGTCCACTCACCTGATGCCAGTTTACAAGTCTTTCCGTCTCCAGCATACGGTTGGTTACACGAACACGTGTAGGATCCGATGGTGTTAGTGCATGAAGCTAAACTGTGGCAGCTGTTTGCACCATTGGTACACTCGTCGACGTCTGAGAAACGTAAACAGACAAGTAATCTAATGAATTTATTCAAGGAAACGGAAGGCAAAGGAGACAAACACCCACAAGTCGTAAATATCGCAAGTTTCAGATGAATAATTAACAGTTATTTTGCCAAGGTAGTGGTAAATAGAGGTCAATATTTACCACTCTCACCGACACTGAGGTGAGTATTGTTGTTTTAGTACATACTACACAGCCGCAAAAAAATTATTTCTTTCTTTCAGTGTACTGAAAAATAGTCGGAAACTGAACTCTCAATGCATCATTTTGTCTATTTAGCTTCTCATCAATGGGACTAGGGAGGGGAAATGAAAAAGGCAATCACAAAACAAAGTTAATGGTTTAGAGTTATGCCCCTACTCATGCACATTTTTGCTATTCTTCTCCGAGCTAAACGATCACTGAAAGCGAAAAGTACTATATATTTACTCGTGTGGTATATACTTCTCCAATTTATAACGTAAAAATAATAAAATCGAGTTCCTGTGTATTAAATTGGCACTTTCAATTAATATTTGCGGGAGAATTATCCGGGTAAAAGAGAAGAATGAGCGAATTTGGAGAAGTTCAAAGTCCGATTGAACTCTTCGACCATTCTTAAAAATAGCCAACGGGTTTCCCTAAGGCTGATTGGAAATTTTAGATATATGACTTTTGAGATATATATTATAACGATTACTCACCACTGCAAGTTTTCCCATTTCCTGAGTACCCAGCCTTGCATTTGCATGAGTAGGACCCAATGATATTGATACAAACGGCGTTGACGTCACAGCTGTAAGAATTGGACGAACACTCGTCTATATCTAGGAGGAAAGTATGAAAATCCTCAATAAAATTAATTTGGAAATTTCCTAGGGCCGACAAAACGATAGATATGGAATTTTCCTCTCGTGTTTAACTTAATATCTCACGAGCGAGAGCAGCGAATGAGAGAGATATCGACTTGAACGCAAAAAAGGAGAAATTCCATATCTAAAAGTGACAATAACTTTATTTGTTTGTTGCATACACACGTGCACCATGTTGGCCTTTACCGAAAAGAAAAATTCGACTTTATTAATGAGTGGTGTGAAAGACGAATTACATGTCGGCAGCTGATTGGCCATATCAAAAACACACAATTTTACCTGTGCCCAGTAATGGCTTTTCTCAGGGCTAGAAATCCTCGTAAAACAAATCACTTTTCATAACAGTTAACAAATAGAGAAGCCTTGACAGTGCTCTATTCTGTTGTAAAGCACGTAGGAAGCGGCTAGAGCACAAAAGAAGTGTAGGGAGAAACACGAGACGTACTTCTTGAGTTTTTGTTTCTTTTGTTGCGACTTGCCGGCTCGCTTGTTCCGAAATTTCACTTTCAATTAACGAAAAAAAGCCAGAGAGAAGTCCCAGAAAAGTTCAAACATAGTACAGTTTGGCAGATGGCGTGACAGCTTTAGCTCGGCGCTATGCTCTATACTCTCATAGAGCACGCTCTTTCAACCAATGACAGCACACGTTATATCCAAAGTCTATTATAATTTGGTTTATCAACTGATTTGATAATATGAATTGACCACCGTAAAGAGATTCTAAGGCTGAACATGGAAAGTTCCTTGTCTTTAAAAAAAATATGTGGGTTACATTACTCTTAGTGTGTAGATTGTGTTGCGCAAAGATCAGATCATCTTACCATTGCAAGTTTTTCCATCTCCAGAATACCCAGACTTACAAGTACAAGTGTAAGAGCCCACGGTATTTTTACAAGCCGCATTATCGTCACAGCTGTAGGTGTTGGTCTTACACTCGTCAAAGTCTGGAACAATAGTGATAAAAATTATCATTCTCATGTTTTGATGCAAAGAAATATTATAGGGAAGGACCTTTGGCTAGCATGAATTGGACAACATTGCAAAAACTATTTTCGCTAAAATCTCAAGTACGTTTGATTATACTCAGGAACACAGTAATACAGGCCAAGAAATTGTAAATTGTAGTGCTGTTACAATGTCTAAGAATTTTATAATCAACGATGTTATTCCTCTTTTGGATATTTTTTTATTAGGGGTTATTTTAGAGACAAAAAAAATAATGGTCTGGTTATTAACACTCAAAAAATATACGGGAATTACTTGAAGTACCTGTAAAACAAGTAAAATTGAAGCAATTATCGCAAGGCACATCATTCCAAGCGTAACCATGCTTTGCACCAAGAGTGTGTACGCAGTCCTCGTTGTTCCAGTCATTTGGTTGTTGATGCGCCCAGAATCTAAATTTGCTAATTTCTTTATTTGTCCAAACAAATGATCCTTCCACACTCCGATCATTGAGTCCAATCCAGGATCTCTCTCCGTTATGTCGATGCTGAACGTACACATTTTCTTCTTGGTTGTGTATAGTCACCAACTGTGAACCCATCGCAGAGCAGTTAGACTCAGCAGTAAGCCATGGCATGCATGCGGGACTTGTGAAGTAGCAGTACCCGTCGAAGTAACCCCAACCTGGTTGGCATATATCTGAGTGAAAGACAGAATAAGAAACAAAATTTACACACGTCAAGCGGTTTGCCTAAAACGGTAATACGAGCTTTCATGTTTAATAATAACGCAAAGCAAAAAACAAACAACAAACAAATAAAAACAAACAAAAAACAAGCAAACAAGCAAACAAATAAAACCGAAAACAAACCAAAGACAACAAGAGCAAAGCAAGGGAAAACGAATGGATTTCACAGATACTTTTGGCAATTGCTTTATGGGCCCAAAAGTTTGCTCCTAGCTACTTAATTTATGATAGATTACATACCCCATGATGCGATCAAACATCCCCCGGCACGTGAAGGTCTAACCATATTCTCACCTGACAAAACAGTATATGACACTGAAAGGGGGTCATATTTTGCCTCGTACAACTCTTTCAGACAAACTCTGAATCCTGTCTCATTAACGTACTAACAAAAAAAATGATAACAATAGCTAAACGAATTTAATTCAATTCAATCTAGGAAGGAATAAAATACAGAAGAATTAAATACTTATGTTAAAGCTCAGTAATCATTCGATGAAACGTCATGAAGAAACAATGAAAAAGAAAATTAGCGAAATAAACAAAATCCAACGAGTGCAACAACAAACTCTAAAGAAAATATCATTAGCATCTGCAGTAGCTCAAAACGCAGATAACAGATTTCCCAAGGCAGGAAAAGGTGAAAAATAGAAAAAAAAATGAAAATAATATAGAAACTTGAAGATACTGAGAGGTCGACAAAATACGTGACCCTACCTCAACCCAAGCAGTTATCCCATTATGTATCGGTTGTAGATTACCACCACTGGTTGAATGATTTGCAGAGACAAACACATTCGGGATGTTGTTAAACTTCTGATTAAAGGAGACATCCTATGTAAAGAGCAGATCGAATACATTTGAAAATTTTTAGTCAAATCCTGTTCAAACATAGCAAACGTAATACATAACCTAGCACAAATTGATAAAGGCCGGGTTGTTCAAAGCTGGGTTAATAAAACACAGAATACTCTTAAAGGAATTGGACTTGTGAACTTTTGATTACAGAAAACCGAATGATGATTTGTTCTTCGGTTTAGCCAATCGGTCTTCGAATAACTGGGCCCGGACAAACAGTTAAATACATTAAAGTGCTGTTTAGATTTATCAAAATCCCCAACCTTTGTCATGTTTCATTTGTTTTCCGGTCTGTTTATTTCTTTAGTTGTTTGTTTGCTTACTTTTTCCCGATTTTTTAGCAGAAAGATTCCTATTGGTAACTTAGCCAAGGACGGTGTTTGTCATTATGATTCAGTTCAAAAACACCGCTCGTTCTGAAACTTGTTTTGAAGGCGAGACTGAAAAGACATTTTTACACGAAAAAATGATACATTAAAATTGAACAAGCTCTTTTAGGTTCAGCTGTACCTTGCAGTAAGCTCTGTTGTGACCAGCAGGTGGCGACTGTGAATTAGAAAAATAAACTGAACTGTGTTCAGAGAAGAGAGGTTTGTGAAGAGATGAAAATGCCAACCATTTCTGAAATATGAAGGTAACAAAAACATTGTCATTACTAAATGGCCTGAATACATTAAAAAATGTTATTGTCTCTTTATTTTTATGATACTTCTTCCTCCCTTTTATTTTTTCCTTTAATTAAGTTTTCAAGGCTCAATGACCTTTAACTTTTTTTTGAAAAATACGAACACTTGATAAAAAAAAAGCAAAGAAGGAAAATGGCAGTGTAACTATAGTAAATAAAGAAGACAAAACAAAACAAAAAAAAAAAAAAGGAAAAAGAAAACAGTGATGTACTTCTGTGGAGATATATAAAGTGCATGTAACAGGACAGTGTAATGCTCACAACGTAGACATCTTCGTGAGATCCCGCATAATTTTGAAGTTCCCTTAAGCAGACTTTGAATGAAGATTGCGTGAGATCTTCAATCCAAACACTTGCAGCGTCACGTTTCAGTCCGGCATGATGATGGGCAGCTGTCACAAATACTGATGGCATCACAGAAAATTTTCCCTGCCAAAAGGAAGAGCATAGAAGCTCTAACTCTTTGTGTCACCAGCGGTACTTGTTATGATTGATTGATCAAGTGCTTCCGCCGACGCTGTTGTAGTTTTTATCGTTTGCGTGTTAAAATATTTTTGAATTCTGAAACACTGAAATTACACGACTTCATCTCCTTTATCCAATCTCAAATCTCGGAAAGCAAAATAATCATGAAATGAAAATCAAATTCCTGTAAAACCTTTCAATGTAGATACTACGTTATGTAATTAGGGAGAAATTACTTAAGTACAACAAATGAAAGAACTATGCAAAGTTGTAACTGCGAGCTGAGCACGGTTCCGGTTTTACAGAGAAACTTGTCTTCGTTTTTAGAACATTCATTTTAAGACAGTTTATTTTACTAACCGAGGGTAAACTGACAGATTTACAAGTCGTTCCAGTCCACCATTGTGATAACCGCACTTCGTCAGCAACTCCACCCACTGGTGCCCCTTGGTAAACCATCCAATCAACGGTCACATTGGCATTTGCGTGTCTTTCGTTGTAGCCAGCCGCCATCACACATGCGGTGAATCTATCGTAGTTGACATTTTCAACCCAGGACACAGCGGCATCATGTACATAGGATTTGTCACTGGTGTCAATATGATTAACCGTAACCTGAACTCCGAGGGCCTTGTCAGGATAAAACACAAATGGCCTGAGGCGAATGACTTCACAATGGGAATATCCAAGGGATGGAATGTGTGGCATGTGTTGACGACCTCTCTGAAAAGGAAATCCTAGAAAAGAAATTCAACAATAATTGACGTAATCTGATTTCACTGTTGTCTAATTTAAAGCTGTTATCGAAGCATTGTCAACAAGAGGACATCCTCACCTCTTTTGGAACTGAAAATGCTTCTGCCGCGCTTACACCAAAACCAATATCGGCCATCATTTCCGACATCAACACTCTAGTCGAAACGACCACCATGACAACCAGCAGAAAGATCTGCTCTGAACACCGATGCTGCCATAAAAACTGACTTTACCACTGACCTTATCGCTGTTATCTACTTTGCAGGTGTTTGGAGACGGATTTTCCAGTAAAGGAAGTCTTAGGAAGTAAGTATTTTACTCAATATAGCTAACCTTCACAGCTACCAGGGTGCTGTACAGTGTAGTTAAGTCGAAGAATACACATTTCCCGTTGAAACAGACATTCATTGTCATAAGTTGAACCGTTTGATGAGCAGACAGGTTCTTGGTATGATGGACAACTCTCCAAAGAGACGCACCTAGCATCATAAGGCCCGAAAGCTTTGCACAAACAGTGATAATGGCAAAGGACGCCAATACAAGGGTCTAGGTCTGCGGAATAAAAAGGTGAAAGGATATGTCAGGCAAGTTAACGAGTGTACCACTCTGGAAAATCTATTTGAAACTCCCATCTCACTTGGTCAAGTGCTAAAAGAGTCTAAGTGTTTTGGAAAAAGGCATCCAAATGTTGTACTCAGTGTGCGTATGACTTAAGTTTTTTAAACATGATTTTAACTATGTCAATAAATTTACCTAAGCTCTGTTTGTAGCTAACTGCGTTCTGTAACCAGCATACTAACGGCATTGCCATTAGGTATCAAGTCGGAAGGAAAAAACGATCAGATAATAAAATGTTAGCCTTAAGGTAAGAATTACAGCTACGCTCCACTGAGTTCTAATTTGATTGACGTGCAGTAGCTAAACATTTGTACAAATACCTCATTTTTCAAAACAATGAAAATTTAGTCTTCCTAAAATTGGCAAAAAAATAACCATGAAACTTTCTGCTCACCCCCAGTCACCATGTAGTCGACGGTGATGACGTCCTTGTTGTTAGAATCGCTATTAAACGTTTTGACACAAATCTGAGCTTCAGTCTTAGATGTGTACTAAATACAAAGAAAAAAGAAGGGAATTATTTCAATATAGCAAAATAATTGAGAATAGTCCAGTTTTTTGATATATTTTATTTATTTATTTATTTTTAAATTTTTCTTAAATTGATGAGCTACATCAATAATAAAACACATTACTTACCTCGACCCAGGTGGTAACAGCATTGCACTGAGATCCGGATTGAAGAGAATTGTTAATTTTTGTGCTTCGCTTTGCAGTAACCAACACGACAGGGGGAGCATAGAAAGATTCTGTGAAGTTTGCTGTCTAGATTGTTAAAAAATAATAATAATAATAAGGATAATATCTGATAATGATTATAGTAATGATAAAATGATTATATCTATACTTATTGTAACAAGTTAGCGCAGTAGACTGCTTCAAGGACACAATTTCTTAGGGCGACCAAGTGTGTGATATCTGTTAAGGAAATAAGAAATCCAGGCTTAGGGATGAGAATTTAGAGGAAAAGCGATGCAAAACGATGACACTCACACATACTCTGAGATCCAATAACGAGGAAACGATCCGGATAAATAATACTTACTTGACAAAAGGCGTAATTATGCTGCGGAGATGGTGAGTTTGTATTGGCAAATACCAAACTATTGATAAGGGTAAAGTTGTCTACGCTGATGTTATGGAAAGCCATCCAATTCTGTGGATCAAATAGAAATTTTAAGAGTTAATTTTACAGCCTTAGAATATTGAGCTTTGTTTTTATTTACAGAACTACTATACTCATTATGAGTTTGTCTCAGCCAAGAGGCAGCTTCAATGTTTATGGTAAAAATAAAGGATATTTATTTCTAATTTATTTTATTCATGTATTTTGTTAAAAGAGGCAGAAGACAAAAAGAAAAAAAAACCTTCTTTTCACTGAGAAAGGTTGTACACTGCTTAAAAATCTTCCGTGGACAGCCCCTATAAAACTCGGGGTTACCTACTATTTTTAGGTTTTTGTGTGGACCATCGAAGATCTTGGCTTCCCTCAAACAAATCTTAAAGCTTTCTGCTTTCAAGTCCTCGACCCACAAGGCCATGGCATCCTGAGTTCGGTTGGTAACACCATGAGTGACAGTCACGAAAATGGTTGGAGGAGATGAAAAACGCTGAAACATAAGAGGATGCGTTACACATTTTAAGGCCTTGCCGACAGACTTAAGGGTGAGAAGTTCAAAGGGAAATAAATCAAACCATATTTATAAATTTGTAGAAAACATCACGACAAACGATAATAGTAATAATAATGACGATAAATATAATGATTAAAATAATAATAAGAGGAAATTGTAAATTGAGTAAATACATTAAAAAATTAAATGGGGTTCTGCGAGGCTATGGATTAAACATAGGTTAGAAAAGGAACAACGCTAAGGTCTTTGAGATCCGAAAGTAGAAAATATTTTTTCTTTAACAGAGAATGTTTAAGGATTTGCACAGCTTTAGCGGGTTGTAGAAGATTATCGAACATTGCATACTGCGAGTTTAATGGAAAGTCAAGTGTCTTTGTTTTTGGAAAGCACGCTTTGGTAAGGCCGGGTCTCTTGTTCTAGCCCAGAGATTTGATATCGTACATTACATTTTACACGGTACGATTCATTTAGTGCCTATGAATCGCTGATGAACACAGTTCTACCTGTTGGAAATCGATCTTCTCACATTCCGTCCCAGTTGTCCAAGAGCTCAGCGCTTTGGCGCCTATTTGCGATCCCAACGGTGCGGTCTGAATAGCAATCCAGTCCACTTCCTTAGTACCGTTCGAGCTGTCTCCAAACTCCACAACACAAGCTGTGAATCCACTTTCAGTAACATCGTCAACCCAGACCGCGCCACCATTACGAGGATTTTGGCTCCTCTCTGTATGGCCAACGGAAGCAAAGACCTTTACTTGCTGTCCGCCATAGAAACGATATTGAAAGGAGATCTCCTTGCATGCGAACAGACCTGGTGTGGTTGTAACAATGTTTTCCTTTCCGGCCTTGAAACCAAGAGCTGTTAAGAAATAAATAATGACGCATTGAAACACTAGATATTCTTATTTGCGGTTGTCTAAGAATTATAATGTACACTCTTTTTGCGATCCGGTAAATTGTTCTATTGCTTCTCAGTGCGCTCCTCCCTCGTTTCTCTCCCTCTTTATTTTCTTTCTAACCCGCGTTGTTACCAGTATAAAATAGATATTTCACGTCAATAATCCCGTTTCAGCTATTTTATGGCTATAGATAGAGGAAAACCCTATCGACATACCTTCACTTGCTAGAGAAACCAAGATGACAACTAAGAGAGCAAAGAGCAAACCGACTGAGTGTCGGCACTTGCACGACATCTTGCTAAGAATGAGTGGTGTATTTGCGTGCCGCAAATTAAAACCTCCCAAAAGGATCAATGTCAAACATCTTTACCTGCAGAGACCTGTCCATCTCGTGAGAGCAAGTCGAGTTACAAAATACTTTAAAAAAAAGAAGTGGTAACCAGCACATTTTTAGCAACAGGGGAGAGGGGGACGGGGGAGGGGGGTTGGAATAAAGACAGAAACAGCCTCACCTATTTAATTTTGATCCATTAGTGATAACTCAACTTGTATATGTCAGTCCTTTCTCTTAACCTAATATCGATAAAGTTTGCATGAAAATGGATATATGGACATAAACAAAACACCTCCCTACCCCTCCCCGCCCCACCTCTTAAGAGTAAGGGTCACCCTTAATACTCTTTACCTCGTTCGCTAAAGATTTACGATCGCTCTTTAGAAAGGGGAAGAAATGATTCGCAATGTTTCCATAAAGCTAGATTCTTTTAAAGAGTACGGGTCAAGCTCGTGTAAATTGGAAATATTACACTGTAGATCTTTCGGGATTTGTATCTGTCTAAAATAAGAAAAAAAAGAGGTTGAGCATTAATATTGTTCGTGGCATAGCTTTTTTTTTTTGGTTTACACAGCCGATTAGACCTTAAGGCTATAAATCCTTTACAACTTTCGATCCGTTCCAATCACGATGTTCTAAATTCCTTTCATTCCTTATTTCATTACATGGAACATTTCCCACAAATCTCAGACTAGTTTTGATAAATTCAATTTCTCTACTTTTTTTTTGGGAGCCTCGGCTATTTTTTGTGGTGTGTGGTGCGTTTAAAAGATTGTTTGCGTGTTGCGTGTTTCTAAATCCGTTTTAATCCAGAATTCATTCGCCTTTCAGTATTTTAAGCTTTGCCCAAACGAACGGTGAGGTCATGATATCATTGTGTACTAGACTTCATATACTTTTTTCCTAAGTTGTTTAATTACGCAGCAATGAAGTCTCTGGTATTCGCCTATCAATTTTAATAGATTCAATTCTTCTGAAAATTTGCCTTTGATTGTGATTCTAATGCGAAAGTTAATTAACAAAGTGCTTTGAAGAGTGTTTGTGAGTTTCGTGCAATAAAGTTATGTTTGCTACTAAAGCCTGTTTGCTTCCGTAAAATCCTCTCAGTTTTCATGCGTATTTTCGAACAGTGTAAGTCTAAATCTTTGCTATGGCCGTGTAGATCATTTTCATTTCTGACCTTACAGAAAAGAAAAAAAAATCAAATAAAAAATAACACAAATGGAGACCAAAAACTGTTGAAAATATTTTAACTCCCTTTTAAATGTTGTCTCCTTTTGCATGAACATTAATATCGGTAAAATAACAGCAGGAAAAAAAAAACAAAAACAAAAAAAAAAACCATAAATGATTTGTGGATGTTGAGACAGGCAGGCTGTCGGATACATTAGAGTTCATAGGGCTTATTTTATTACTTAGGGAAAACCCTGTATTGTTGGGGGTAGTGAGATGGAAACAAGGGAAATCTCTAAATTTTGCCTTTAAGATGTAGTGAAGTATTTTATTTAATACGACAGTACGAGTAATGACTAAAGAACTAAAGCAGAACCACACGGTAGCAACGAAGCATAACTAGCTCCGCATATCAACGTGAATTTACTTTAGGAGTTGACAATAGACAGAAGGTTCAGTCTAAGAGCGTTATCTTGACATCACTGAGCAAAGAGATTAAGAGCAGCCGTTTGGGAGAAGTGCCAAACAACACATTGAGGTCAAAGGGTAAGTAAACGAGCGAGTGAAAATGAATACCTCTTTATTACCCGACGGACACTCTGTTCGCCGTAAAGATGACATGTAAAGTCACGTGGCTGCTTGTTTGACGAGATAACTCAAAACGTTTTCGTCAGATGAACAGCTAATGCTCGGTGGGGGAGCCTTTCAAGACTCGACGTGATGGTTTGTCAGTCCTTTTCAACTTATGGTTGATATCCCTTGTTGGCAATAAACTGAATAGTCATAAGAAGTGGCTTAACACTGATTGTTAAGAAATCATTGAGAGTGAGACTGATTGTTATGTAAACTGAAATTTTAAACAATATCGATAAGCTTCTTAAAAAAAAAAATTTTTTTACGTTATTGTTTGCTACAAGCTCTAAAAACTGTTAATTCCTTTTTTGCTTTTGTTTTTATAACTTTGATAAGTTATAAGTATCATTAGATATGGGACTTCGTTCTCATGACTTGGGCACTAGAGTCTATCTTGATCGATAAATTACCCATCTCACGCCTCAGTTCCATTGGCTATGTGAAATCTACTGATGCACACCAAACAGAGATAACTGTATGACGTCAAATTTCGTTCACGGCACAAAAACCCTCGTTCACTGTTAATTTTCCGAAATGGTATAAGACTCAAAAATTCAACACTTAACTAAAGTTTTCTGATATCTGAAAACGGATGGCAGATTCACTGTCCACCCCTGTGAAAATTGGCCGTTATTGAATTTCCATTCATGTCATAGAAGAGTGCAAAGCCAAAAACAGAAATACTACGAATTTTAAACTCTTTGAATGTAATAAAGTGGCTAATTAAACTTGCAATTTACAGATAAGAGCTCGTTTGAGAAGAAGGTTTCAGGCAATCTTCTCAGCAATGGATGATGGGACTAGCACAAAGCGAACATCTGTAATGCCCTCGGAAGTAAATGAGGATTCCACAGCCATTACTGCGCCGAGAAAAATAAAGGTTCAGCCACTGAGTGACACCGAAAAAACTAAAAAAGTCTCGAACAAATTAAACCTCCATTGTACATAACAGCAATAAATGAAATTGAAATTTCATAGTAAAGCATATCCAAGCAAAATATTGCAAGTTAGAAATCCGGCAACTAATTATATAATATAATATCAAAATAGAAAATTTGCTGGGAAGCCACGAAAAAAAGGCGAAACTAAACAAAACAAGAATAAGGAAAAAAACGATGTCATTATCTATACAGAAGAAAGTCTTGATTTGTTTCTAGTTTTTTCGGCAGCTAATGCCAACGTTTAGTTGGCTTGTCAGTGCATTGTCTGTGATCTGCGATCAGAGCATCATTTTCTATACAAGAAAATACTGTATTTTTCAGTTTTTACCTATGATTTGCCAATTAGATGCATATACATTTTGAATAAATTTCCGCCAACTGTTAATGACCGCACATAATGATATTTCATTTTCTTAGAATGTTTATCCAATGGATTAATCCATTGTATGAGATTTGCATCGGCTTTCATAAGGGTGAAAACGGCTAAGATTTATCGCTTGAAATAAAAGCTCTCTGTGGGGATTGAGACCGCATTATTCCTAGCATGTTCCTTTACAGCGTTGGTTTATTCTCTTTTATACGAAACACAATTTTGGCGTCCCCCCCTTAAAAAATAATGAGGCAAAGTTGAGGCTTTGTAATTTGGTTGATATGGTCTCTTAAAACTGCTTTAGAAGTTACTGCACCGCCTTTACTCTGCAAAGTACTTTAAGGACAAGCTAAATTACGGAGTGTTTAAACTTTCCGCGGTCTGCGCATACATGGGCCATCTAAAGACTGGTCGTAGCGTGTCTGAATGACGAAGTCTATCCCCGATCTATTTTCTTTCCTTGTTTCCTTTGTTCATGTTACAGATTGTCTGTCTTGTTATCACCTTTTTACAAAACAGTAACAAAAACAAAAATCCGGACAAAAGACACACCAAGAAGCAAATGCTTTTCCACTTGAGAGATTGATAAGGCAATCGCAATTATCTACTACTGCATATTTTGCCTCCGCTGAACATGAGCTGATAACGGCAATTAAAATTATCGTCCAAGAAACAACATGTGTTAGCGTGACGAGCGTTTGGAATCTTAATTGCTAAATCAATCATGCTGCCCATGTGATTGTCAACATAGGACATTGATATAAATACCCTGACAGTTTTCAACTGAAAACAAAACAAAGAATGGTAGAATTAGAATATTATGCATCTTTTCTGTACCGCGTCTGTATTGTTTTCTGTTTGATTTAGAGCCAGATACCTGATAGCCACAAGCACAAATTTCAGTTTGATATGCATGAGAAAACTGAAAATAATATTTAACCTAAACGAAATGCTGTACGATAGAAAACCTTATCCTTTTATTAGCCTTCGCCACCTGTGTACGGGGCGATGTTAATCTACCCATCATCCGCCTCTTTATGTGCGTAACTACGACAATTCGACATGGGAGATGTTATAATGAATCTATAATCTAAAATGCTAAGTTCCTTTTAGGTCATAAGGAGAAAAGATTCGGACTCAAACTGTTTATGGTCTCACTCCGCAGTAAGTGAGACTTACATCAAATTATTTTACATCGCTATGTAGGGGCTAAGTGAAGCAGTCTGACATTGATATCTCTAGATCAATCCACTTTACCTCTTCGCAATAGAGATCGGTTTGGATTTTTTTTCCGGTTGAAAAAGTCGCGTGTACAATTATTAGCCAATTTCAGAGTGTAAGCCAACTGCCGCAAAGTTTTTCAAAGTCAAATAGCAACATATCACTCCCTAAAATGTTTAGTCTGAACGAAAACCCAATGTGTGATTCTTGGGAATTATGTAGAGAATAAATGCTTTAAAATCACCCGGATTGTACATAATAATATTAAATAATAATAATAATAATAATAATAATAACAATATATATGTATATATATATATATATATATAATTTGCACAATGGAGAATTTGCTTCCGTTTTCAACGCTTTATTAAAGACCCGACGCATTTCGGCATTTGCTTTCCTCAGGGGCCTTAACATGCAATTGTTACAGAGTCGTAATTGGTTAATTGTGTGACGTAGTACAGTGCATATTGCTTAATTAAATGCTGGGTAAAATCTCTCGTAAACAATTAGTGTTTCTAATTGGTTAACAGTTTTAAAACCTTTATAACGTATGTTATAAACAATTTATGTACCTAAAACTTTATAAAGGTTTTCGCGTAAAAGCTTTATCCAGTTCTTTTGTTTAGTCCATATGGCTGAAAGGAGTTTAATGTTCTTTGCCAAAAAATCTATCTTTCTCTAAGAACTTCTTTCTTTTTGTCAGTCTCTAAATGATCTTTTCGGATTTGCTCTATAATGTTTATGGTAACATTATTGTTAAAGTCGTGAGTTCGTTTGTTATGTAAAAAGTGTTCCGTGAGTTCGCAGCTACTCACTACCTTTTTAATATGGTTTCTGTGATTGTTTAACCGTAGGTTAAATGCAGTTTCGCTTTTGCCAATGTATTGAAGTTTGCAAATGTTGCACTCGATTATGTAAATGATCCATGACGATTGGCAGTCCACTGTATGAAATATGGTATAGGTCTTGTTGTTGTTGGGACTGGTGAAAGTTGTGGTCTGGTTGATCTTTTTACACCAACTACACTTCGTTCTTTCACATGCTGTACATCCCTTTGGTATCAAATTCTGAGGTGTTTCATTTACAAATCTTGAACGAACAAGTCTGTCTCGTAGACTTTTCGGTCGTCGGTAAGCTACTAAAGGTGGCTTGTTGAAGATGAGTGATAATCTTTCTTTTGATTTGAGAAAGTTCCAATTTCGTTTAGCAATTTCTGCAATAAATGTGGTATGGGGGTTGAATGTAGTAACCAGAGGAATTCGATCTGTTGGTTCACGTTCTTTGGTCTGTAAACATTCCTCTTGAGTCAATGTTAGTACTTTCTGCATTTCGTGGAGAACTTTGCGTTGTGCATAACCACACGCTACAAAGAAATCCGAATATTCCAGGATTCGTTTCTTCAATGTGTCTGTTGAAGAGCATATTCGCCTCAACCTCAAGGCTTGACTGTATGGGATGCTCCGTTTCAGATGAGGTGGATGTGCTGATGTCCAATGGAGGTATGGATGAGTATCAGTTGGTTTCTGATAAACATATACATATATATACATATATATATATATATATATATATATATATATATATATATATATGTAAATGCTAATGATAATAGTAACATATCTAATAGACGAATATTCAGCTTTTTGCGAGTATATTTATATATGTGCTGCAATCATGGTTCGGATCCTTCTTCTTTGATAATTACACTCAAGGATGACAGAAACTCTTCTTCGTATGATTGAAGTGGGTAGTATTTCAACTTTATTTTACAAATCGGCTTCATTAATGACTTATTTAACCATTCTTTTATGTAAATCTGATAAGCGCCGCTGGTCAAGTAAAAACTATGAAGTCTCTTTGGAAACACGAGTTCAAGGCGCCTAATTACAATGCTAACAGATGCGAGAGTTTTCCATTAGTGGGTTTATGATGGAAGGCTTCGCAGACGTTGGATGACGTTTGTAAAAAAACTAGCAATGATTATCACATTCTAGAGTCTGTCCTAAGCTTTCGTTTCCTCGTTTCTCTGTCCCCTTGGCCCAACAACTGGCGTTTTGTCGGCATTGAAATGAAATGTTTTATTTCCCTTTCATACCAATAGAGTGAGGAGTAAAATCCTTATTTTTCATCCCTTAATTGATTTCCGCTGTCAGCCTAGCTTATTTCGAGTCTGTCAAAAATGTCTATATTCGTAAAATGCCACTTAAATAGTTTGAGAAGTTAAGCTTCTTACAGGCGTATTTGTTTCAAATTGTTGAACTAAAATAATTTTTAGCCTTTCATTTAGTGGTGCTCAAACAGAAAATATATTTTGATTAGATGGAGGCTTAACCAGAAAATTTTTCCTGCCAAACATTACAAAATATTCATTCGAAAATTTGCTCTTTACAAAGGTAAAACTTGCTGAACCTCATGGCAGTTCGTTATACAAAGTAGGAAATACGGCCCAGTTTTCAACAAGGTCACCAAGTAAATTGAACGCTGTTTTGTTTTAAGCCTCATTCATAACACATCTCTCAAAGGCGATGTCAATTATACAAATACGCCAGTCCGTGCCCAAACACCTCCGCTTTTAGCAATTGTTAATTCACAGCCACCTGCGACTTCCCAGTGGTTTCCATGACACTTTCCTCTATGAGAAATAATTATTCTTGTCATTCTAGCTATTGCCTCAATTTATAAAGTAAATACGGAACCAGCTAGTCAATTTAGTGCCAACAAACTCAAGGAATAATGTGTTAGAAACTCACACCTAGTTTGGTCTCTGCTTTACTGCTTGTTCGTTCAAGACCGAACGTGTCTGTGTCTAAACTCTGCCCAAAGCCACTGAACAAACAGCAATACTGACATTTCTGTTTCACGAGACTGTGATCTTAAAAACACCAAAATGCCGAGTTCATAACTGAAAGATCGAAAGGAAACTCTTGCCAAAATATTTTGGAGAATGCTTTTCCTGAAAAAAGTATTATGGTAACCTTTAACCTAACTTTTGAAGACTCGATGAGTTAAGTAGGCTATTGATGGTATGTTTTACTTTTAATTTCGCTTGTTTTTCGAAGGAGCTCTTTAAAGCTCTCTTAAGGGCTCCTTAAAGGGAAAGTACGGTCTATAAAATTTTACCTCTATCGAAACAACTTTTCCTCATGAACTCGAAAATAATTGTCGTTTTTCCCAGCTCGGAACGGAACCCAGACAAATGCGGTGGAAACAAATTCTACTTCGTCAAGTACTGAGGCGTCATTTTTAATGCGATCGATATCCTTAGCTAACAATGTTCCACAACTGGAGACTTCCTGACGCTGTTTTTACTCATAATTTACAAAAGCGTGAAACTTTCTTGGTCAAGTGACCCCTATTAGGAAAACAAAGCATACAAACTGTAGAGGTCTATTTACAATTAAATATTACGGTGAAGTTCATCCTTAGGTGAAGATTACAACAAAACGTTTAATAAAAGAGCTGACATTAAACTGCATTTATTTCTTTTTATGCTTTGCATCAGACTAACTTGCAAACAACTCTAGCGTTTGTTTGCATAAGTTTTGTAAAAAATGTTTATTCTATCGTTGCCTACTTGTTTGACAGATAATCTTGGCCAGTAAACACACGGGTCCAAATGATCCGTGCACAGTAATACACTGAAGCTTGCTCCCTGCAATTTCAGTAATAATTTACATCACTTAATTAGCAATGTGAAATAAACCCGTCGCGTGTACAGCGCTCTTCTTTTGTAAAAACTCACAAATTGTCACTTCCTAAACAAAGATTTTATTTGAGAAAAATTAGTTATCTACGATTCCAGATGGCATCTCAAAACAGTTGCCGCAAGTGCACGACTCGCAGGTTACAAGACGTCAGCGCGTAGATGTTTCTCCTTTCATCTTTCTCCGAGTTCCTTCATCAACGGCATTTTCTTCTTCTCCTGAAGACGAGCTGTGTTGCGTCTCAAAAATGAATGGGCGTATTACGCCGTCTTGATTAAAATCCATGTCGAGAATTGAGTCATTATCGCTCTCTTCGCCGCTGCTAGATGTTTCTCCTTTTATCTTTCCCTGAGTTCCTTCATCAACGGCGTTTTCTTCTTCTCCTGAAGACGAGCTGTGTTGCGTCTCAAAAATGAATGGGCGTATTACACCGTCTTGATTAAAATCCATGTCGAGAATTGAGTCATTATCGCTCTCTTCGCCGCTGCTTTGTTAGTCTTTTTTTCTTCACTCTTAGTCGAAATTACAATGCTTGATCATTGCTACGTCAGATGGAGGATTTAAATTTGAAAATCTCAATTTTTTTTTATCGTGATTTCTGGCAGCAAAAACACAAAGCAGGAGATTTTTCTACGTTCTTTTTTTTTTTTTTTTTTTTTTTTTGCGGGGAAGGGATGTCGGAAGGTCCGTTTTCTGGGTTTTTGTTTTTGGTTTTTTTAATTTTCTATCTTTTAAAATTAATTTACCAATTCATATTACCTTTACAATTTCTAAGTATGATACAGAAAGAAACCTTATGTTTCATCAAAACATTTCCGTCAAGCACCGATCATCGTTTCTGTGCTTTGGCAATGTACGTGTAGACGTGGACGATGGCTTCTTCTGTTTAGGTATAGCTGTGTGATGATTTCCGTTAAAATTTTCGCACTGAACCCAAGAATACCAAAGGGTATGCTCAACGATACTTGAAACATGCTATCGCTTGGATATGTGTTTCTGTGTTCTTTTTTTTAGAGACTACCGCATCGTCCTTATTGAGCAAGTAACTGAAATGAATGATGAATATCGTAACAGTCACCAACGAATGTTCTGCTCACTAGTAATAATGTCACCGGAAATTTATGCTGGAAAAGAAATGTTTCAATCGTAATTGAGAGTTGGGCACAATCAAGTATTTTCTGTCAAATCTAATTTTTAATCCATGTTTGTTTTTAAGGTCAGAGTAACCAGTGCTCTAGAGAATACGTAGAAGTGGAACTTTCGAGGATAAAAGATGAAAACTGTCCGTCGATTAATGAGATAACTCAGCAGCCTCCGTTAAAAATCAAATGCCTTAAAGGGAATTGTACTTTGTGGTGCGAAAAATTCGCTCGTTGTCTCCATCAGTCCGATAAATGGCAGAAAGAATGCGCTCGGAAGTTTAAAAAACTCTTTAGGGGACATCGTCGGATAAAGATGAAGGTGCATGCTGAAGGAAATCAGTCACCGCTTCACATTGAAGTCAAATTTTGTGAGTGGAAGAGTCGTTATAAAATTTACACCATTAAGTCATTTGATAGCGTATCGGAAGGAAATGGTATGTATAAGGTTCCTTTTGTTTTAACCATGAGATCATTTCTCATTAACAATTTCATTAATTTGATTATTCACAAATCCATCCGGCTGTCCGATCTCTCGATCGCTCCTTCGCTCTTTCAATCTCAGTCAGCCGTCTATCAATCTCGCGTTTTCCTTACTCATCAATTTACTCTTGCATTTGTTAATTTTTTTTTATACTACTCCCTCGTTTATTCAAATTAATAAGCCATTTTTCGGGATTATGATGAGTACTACTTGAATGTCCTTTCTACATAGGTGATCTGCAAGAAGGGGAAAACGTACGCCAAGAGGTACTCTATTTATGTTTTTGAAAAAACAAATATATCGCTTTTAACTTTTTGGGTAAGAAGTTAGTTCTTGCTTCTTGATATGCCTTCATAGATTACGTCACTTTTAATCGTGAAACTCCTTTACGCAGAATTGTCTGCATCCCCACACTTGACATGTAAAGGACATTGCTGTGTTTATAACATGGAGGCAGTGTGAATGTTGATATTAACGTACATGCAGACCGTAATAGATGTTATGGATGATAAAAGACCATCCTGAGATCTATTTACAAATAGAGAAGCCTTCAGTTTGCTCTTTTCTGTTGTAAGCAGGAAGCAGAAAAGCACGAGCCGTGATCTCCTATCCCCCTCTCACCCCCCCCCCCCCCCTCCAATACACACGCTACAATAAGCCAATCAGAATCCTTGTCAGAATGTTTCAAATAGTCTGATTGGTTGGAGAAGGTGTCATAAATGTCAAACCATCAAAATTCATAAACTATCAAAGTTCTGCAATCTGCAATATATCACAACCTGGAATAGTTCAGGCGGCCGATGTAATTGCTGATGCTTGCTTCACTGCGATGACCTGAGACTGCCATGACGATCTGGCCGCGATGGACCTCAGCATGATCGCTTTCGCTCTGGCACCAGCTTGATTTGTATGAATTTTAACAGTTATGCCAGTTTAGCTATATTTCTCACGATTCCTGTTTTGTTTTGTTTTGTTTTTCAACACGAAACTTATACTAAATGCGAACTTTATTGTGATAAGGTTTTTCGTTCCCTTTTTAAAATGAAACTCTCTTACCGTTTTTTTAGGAGTTGCTCAGCTCTTTGAAGTCCGTTGCTGAGTTTTATTCCGATGAGATACGTAACAAAAGTGAAGATAAGAAGGAAAAGATAGAGGAAATGTTTTTTGAATTGACCACGTTGGAGACATCCGTGCTGGAAACTGCCCAGCTTAAACTCAATCACTCAACAAGCGAATTTACGATGAGCAGCATTTATGCAGGTAAGGAATTTTCTTAATCTAATAAGTATGTTGAACACCATCGTCGTTCCGATTCAAGGGCTGGACATGAAGAGATGTTCATTGCATGAAATAGCGTCGCAATAACATTTTAGGACAACATATACTAAGCATACCATAAACTAGTTCCCACTGTTCTATCTGTTTCGACTAAAACCAGGTTTTTTTTTCCTTTAAAAGGTTTAGGTAACCTTTTTCGCCCATCGAGTCAAATTAATCTTTTTTTTATTGTTGATATTACTAATTATTGTTATTAATATCATTTTTATACCTTTCCGTTAGATGTTCTGGTCAGGAAAACTTTCTACCAAAATGAAAGCCGCCACTTTCGTCTGGAAGAACCTAACGGGGAAAATTTCCTAAACATTCCACCGGGAAACTTGGACAATGGTTTAAAGATTTATTTGAATATTTCGTGTTCCAATATTATTTACTTATTGATGCATTAGCTATGTTTTCATTTCAATTTTGTAAGTTTATATAGCGAAATTCACGAAATCGTTTCATCTTTATCGTTTTCTCAGGTTCAGTAGTACTCGGAATGATATACAAAGACCTCCATCAACTATTCATCACTAACCAGACAGAGAACAGTACTCTGAACAATTCCAGGTCACCCGGCAATTATAACTATACGTTTATTTTCCATCTTTGTATGCATAAACGACTGATAAATTTCCTTCACGCTAGAAACTGAAAGGTTTTTTACGTTAGACAATTTATATCTATTTCTCTTCTGTATACTTGAAACGGTGCATTTGAAGTTTAGTGATTCTTACTTTCATCGCTCTGAAATAGGGAAGTCACCTCCATTATTATGGCTGCCACAATAACTCCTCCACCCAAGAAACTTCAGGAAAATATAACTTTGAAGTTCAAAAACATTAAGGTAGCGAGACTTACGCTGTTCTTTCCTGCCGATTTTGTTATACCTTGTCATTTCTGGTTGAGATTAAGTGACTCTATTAGCTGTCTGAAATGAAATTCGCCTTTTTTCAGTATGAATGTATTGTTTATGAATTCTAATTTCGCTAGATTTCGATTTATGGTGCAAATTGTGTTTCATTGTATAATTTATTATTATTTCATTTTTTTAGAATTCAAATAACAAGAAAAAGTGTATGTTCTGGAACATGTTGGATGATAGGTAAATATTATTCGAATGTCCCTCTTTTTTTTTTTTTTTTTTTTTTTTTCTTTTTTTCTATTCAACTCTTATCATGAGGCTAGCGTTGGGCTAATTAAGTGGGAATAATGTATGATTCATGCTTACCGGCGTCGTTTCAGGTTGATGCAGACACTTATATCTAAATTAAGTCAAGTCGCGAAAATTATCCAGTTAGCTAAATTGTGTTGCCCTTTGTTCAAATTTTTTTCACGTAAAGCTCTCCATGTGTGAAGAGCAAAGTTTTGAGAACTAGTGAATACATGCAAGTTCTCAGAGGAATCATCGTCTAACAACCGGATTTTCACACTTTAATAAGTTACATTCATTAAAAGATATGGGGTTCCGTTCGCATGACTTGTGCACTAAAATCTCACTTGATCGATAATTTATCTATCTTACGTTTCAGTTCCATTGGCTGGTCAGGAGAAGGGTGCTATGTCAAATCTACTAATGCATACCAAACAGAGTGCACCTGCAATCATTTGACTCATTTTGCTGTTCTTCTGGACACATCTTCTGGAACAGAGACTGCCGATATATCAGCGGTAAGTGTCACCACAACGCCTGCAACTCCCCTGTACGATAGTATTTGCTGGTACATTCAAACAAATACCTATTGATTTAACATTTTAGTTCTTAAGGTAGAATAAAACTTGGTTAAGTCGATGTATTAAGATTTGTAAGTCTTTTAAAGTATTGTTATCATTTATATTTTCACCCATAAAGAATGATGAAAAGAACTTGGAAATTCTCACATACGTCGGGCTGACCCTCTCTGTAATTGGGATCTCATTGACGATAATCAGCTATGTTACTCTCACGTGAGTTAAGTAGTTAGAAATTAGAAATGTGGACAAAAAAGAGGACAATTGATCGCAAAAATGTTTCTAAGTATGCTGGGTTCTGTCAAAGGACAGACACGAGTGATACTCAGACCGTACTAACCGTACTTTGCTCCTTGTTTCCTCATTTCTTTGAGTTTCATGATGACGAGAAGACCTGGAGCCATCTACTAGCTTGTAATTAAAGCTCTCCGTGGAGATTGAGACCATATTAATCTTAGCATGTCTCTTTACAGCGTAGGTTTGTTAAAGAAAAAATAGAGAAAAAAAACACTTTTGGCATCCCCCCGTTAAAAAAAAAACCAAGCAAAGTTGAGGCTTTGTAATTTGGTCAATATGGTCTTTTAACATCGCCTTAGGGGTTACTGTACTGCCTTCGCTCTGCAAAGCACTACAGGGATAGGATAAAGGACAGAGTGTTAAGACTTCCCGTGGCTTACGCATGCCTGGGCCATCTAAGGACTTGGCGTAGCCTGGCTGCCTAAAGCAGTTTAGCTCCAACCAATTTTGTTTCCTTCTTTTTTTTTTTTTTTTTTTTTTTTTTTTTTCGTGCATTTTGGACTGTCTGTCTCTTGTTATCACCTTTTAATAAAACAAAAACGAAAGAAATTTGGAAGAGAGACATTCAAAGAACCCAATGCTTTTCCACTCGAGAGACTGATAAAGCAATACCAATTATCTACTTTACTACATATGTTGCCTCCGCTGAACATAAGCTGATAACGGCAATTAAATTAATCTTCCAAAAAAGCATTATGTGTTTGCGTGACAAGCATTTGGCATTTTAATTACCATTTCAATCATACTGCCTCAGGTCATTGACATAAAGACCCTGTCAGCTTTCAACTGAAAACAAAACACAGAATGGTAGAATTAGAATGTTAGGTATCTTTTCTTCACCGCGTCTGTATTGTATTCTGTTTGATTAATAGCCGGATACCCGATAGTCACAAGAACAAATTCCAGTTTGATTTGCATGAGAAAACTGAAAATAACACTGAATCTAAATTAAATGCCATATTATGGAAAACCATATCTTTTTATAACTATTTCATTATTAGTGTACGGGGCGATATTAGTCTATCCATAATCATAATCATCCACCTGTTTTTGTCTGTAATTATGACAATGTGACAGTAGAGATGTTATTATGAATCTACGAGCTGAAAAGTTAATTCCTTTTAGGCCATGAGGGGAAAGGATTCGCACTCAAATCGTTTATAGTCTCACTCTGCACTAAGTGAGATTTTCACCAAATCATTTTAACATCGCTGTGTAGGGCCCTAAGTGAAGCAGTCTGAATAAGTGCTCTTCGCGAGGCAAATTCGCCGCTCTCAATATTCTCATCGATAATTTGGATCCTTGAATGTTAAAGAAGAACCCCCTCTTCTGGACGAAACCTTTCGACGAAATGCTTTTGCATGGAATCTTAATCATTTTTGGTAAGTACTTATATGAAACCAATTCGCTGTAGTCAAGCAGTTTAACTAGCTTCCTGTTATGTTTTCCTCCTGATACCATCACAATATGTTTCCCAAATTCTTTGATGCAATTGATCGACGTGAAGTCTGGAACGAAAAAAGAAAAAGGAGGAGATGAAAACAATTTTGAAAGCCGAGAGCTTTTTTTTTTTAATTTCTCCAGATTGTTCCCTTTGTCATATCATAGCTATAGCTAAATCGAAAGACAAACACGATGTAATTTAGGTGGCGAAACCGGAACACAAGAGATACCCCCTTTCCTAAAATTCTTGCCCAAACGTTATTGATTTTCTCTGACCTATTTTTATTTTCCACGCGGACATTGAGCACGACCGTCTTATATTCATTTCCTTTCTTGTAGTAAACGTAGTCGTTCGTTAGAGCGAGGTGACAATGGAACGGCTTTCTCTATTTAAGCAGATGTACTTTCTAGACCGTTCTATTGATTTAAGCGCTCTCTTACGACGGAAGCCTTTCAAGCAATAATTAGACCAGAAAACAGAAATCGATCTGAAATGTTTCAAATATATGAGTCATTATAGTAATAAGTTACGAGAATTGTGCTAGGTTTTTTTTTTTTTTTTTTTTTTTTTTTTTTTCTGGGCAATTCGACTCTCAAGAAAAACTTTACCGATGTCCCGGTATAGTTTACATAACAGGAACACTGAATTCTGACGGAAAAATAGGCATCACAGGGCCCTATAAGTTATCAAGGCCTCTTCAGGGTCTCATGCTTCACTGGGTAAAGCTTACGATACTGTTACATTTTCTTTTAGTTATCTAGTTAGAGGCAATCTCTGAAAATTCCACCTTGTGTCCATTGCTATAGATGCTTTGTTTTATATACAAAAAATAAATAATAATAATAATAATAATAATTAAAAAATTTAAACATTTCCAATTTTTTTTTTTTTTGACATGAGGATTCAAACTCGGCACAATTCCTTTGACTAGTTAATCTCTCACTTCATGTTCGTTTTAAAGGATCCTTCGACCACAAACATTGCGCGCTTATTCCGCTATTTTCTATGCTATCTAAACTCGTGAAATTTTCATTGTGGTCTATCATCCAACCGCATCAGAGCGATTTAGATATATTAAGGTCTTAGATGGTTGTGGCAGTCTTCTGAAATTATGAGTTGTTTATTCTAGACACATATTTTAGTTTCTCGCAATTTCCTCGAGGAAACTTCTTGTATCTGGAACCGTCGATGGCTTCTCGCGTTCCTTCACTTGAAAGGCTTAAAGCCACGGAGAGAACGAAATGGATTTTACTTTAAAGGCCACCTTCTACCTGTGGAATGGCGGGAAGTCTTGGCTAAAAGGTTCAACTAAGAGCCAATTTGTAGAGATTTTATTGCATCAAAGCGTCGACAAACTCCGCGCGAGGTGCGGGACACAAGAAGCAAATGACGAGTCAAAAAAGTATTACTACTGCCATTCGCAAGCGATTTTAAACTTCTGCCCTCAGGGTAGCTCTGACCAGGATATGTTTTAATGACTTTCCTTTCCAATGTGATTAAGTGCGTTGGTTTTTAATAAGGTGTCATTTTCTCCACATTGGCGTCAAATACCTTCCATTCCCTTCTTTACGTATATTTTGAAACTCTGTACGTTTCCACCACAAGTGAAGGGTGTCAGATTTGTTTTTAGGGTGCGTAACGCTCCTCCCTCTACAAATCCTCCCTCTACGACTGGTAAAGCACGACACTTGCAAGGCGTTGAGTGAAATGCGAACAATTTTATGAGCAGTTACCCCTATATGGTTGACTAGGTAGTCTTACGTCTCCTTCAGGTATCTTATTATCTAAGTACTTGTTTTTCTATTGATTCCCCCGACCCCCTCCCGTCTCCACCCCTCAATCATTTCTTTTGGTTTTGTCTTTATTTCAGGTGCTATGACTGTGCCAACTTCAGCACGAGGTATGTATTGTTTTGCTTTAAAAAAAAAAAAAAAAGAAAATTAGAAAATTATCATTAAGGTTCAACATTGTTCAACTTATTATCCTCTGTCGTCAGAGGTTATACACTATATTATATCTTGCCAGATAAATCATAAAATGTGACCTAGTCCAAAAGATCACTGATTTGTCATTGCTGGTAATTATTCCTACGAAATAGGGGGGACAAGTAAACAAAGGGAGGTTTCGGTCTATAAACTTTAAAAAGTGGCATCAAACTCAAAGCGGGCCCATCTTAAACAATTCAGAGAAAATTCAGAAAAAGCTGAGGGTTCTGAAAACCCTAGTTATCTCTAGCTGGGGTGGAATTCGAGTAGTAAAAGGAAAAAAAATCAAGTGAAAAGAAAGTTCAATCAAGTAAATTTACTTACGGAAAAATACTAATTTAACAAAAATATAAAAAGTATGTGAACGAACGAGGAACAGCATTGACATTTAAAAATGTCTCCATTTAATGTTTTCGTATCTAACGCAGATGGGCATTGCTCCCGCCCTGATGAAACACTCGGACCCTCAGAGCTGAACGGTTCAGACTGTCAGCAATATGTTAGAGAAATGTCTCGGTACTGGCATAGGATGAAATGTGGCAATGAAACACCTGCATCTATTGACGAAACCTGTTGTCACTCTTGGTGTGAGCAGCTGACCTCCTGTTTCAGTCAGTTGCCTCCTTGGAAAAAAGACTGTGTTAGAATGTGGAGGTGTAGGAAAAAACCTCGCAAACAGATTTCGATTATATTGACAAATACAACAGACTCGTCGTATTTGGGCAGAATCAAAGTGAAACAGTGCTGGGCGAAGAAACCGAATTTTCCCGCCATTAAGATAACACCATCAAGCGAAGTACGTGTATTTGATTTTCTTGTAACATTTTTAGTGCCTGTTGTTGTTGTTACTTTAATTTCACCCTTTAGAGAGTGTAGAAACCAATCCCACTCTTAGCCCCAGTCGGCGCAGCTATCAATACAAGTTCGACTTTCAAGCAAATAAGAGGAGTGAGCTCTAGTAGAAATTAATGTCGTGGCGAGTACGTTTTCCAGTATTTCCTATGTTATTCATATTTTCTATTTATAATCTTGTAATCGGTTATTCCATTCTTAATCCATTAGTATAGGTAATCACATGATTTCGAGTGCAATTTGGAATAAATAAGCAAGAGTAAATTCTCTTAAAGACAAACAGAATTTGTGGTCTTTGAAAAAATTAACAAGTGCTTGTTTATTCCAAATTGCACGAGAAAAATCATGTGATTACGCGTTAATAATATACATGGAAAAATACGAGATGGCTTATCATAATTAAATATAAGCAGAGCGCGCGCATCAAGTGCAAAAATTAATTTATTCAAACCGTGCCTTCGGTCAAAACAACCGCGTAGGATCAAAACAATAATAGGCAATGATATCTTCACATCTTTGAGGTGCAAGAAAGTTCAAAGTCCGACTAAACAGTTCAAGGAATAGTTCAGTCTGTGTCCGAAGCACTTTCGATGAAATGGAATCATCGTTTCCGAGGTTTAACTATGACTGTTTTTAATTTCGGCGTTGGATCGCTCGAGCAAAGTGTTAAGCTGGGTCGGCTCGTAATTTTCGATTTCCTTGGCAATTACCTTCTCTAAACACCACTTTTTCCAAACTGACAACCAAAGAGCAGTGCTTTTTATAGTGTTTTCGTTGTTTAAGCTGTTTTTCAGCTGCGGTGGCGAAAGAAAACCTACTTAAAACGCCGGCCATTGTTTCGCTCGCAAATTTTCAAATTTTCAGATTTTGTTGCGCCATCCAAGGAAATTTGATTAGCTATCTGTGAGTTTCTTTGATTATTGACCAATCATAATGTCTGATTTGTTTCTTTCTTTGCACTGAATTAACCCTCTTCTGCACTGAATTAACTCTCTTCTGCACTGAATTACCTGAAAACTGCATTTATCTTAACCAATCAGAACTGAGTAATTTTTCCATGTATATTATTATGTTCGTAATACTTTGCTTAGAAACCATGGCAATAACGTGTAAATAGAAGACTTCGACGTCAGGAAATTAAAACTCCTCTTAAGTTTATTGCTGGTGCCTTGGTTAAAGAAAGCTTTTCCACAGACTGTGTCGCCCAGAGTTTATCAATTCCTTTAACAGTTAGGCTACTGAAGGACATATCTAAACCAACGACTATTACCTTATTGAGACTTTTTTTCGCCTTCTCAGTTTTCAAACAAGAAACTTGTTGACACCATCCTAAAGGAATTGATTGACTCTTCTGGAAATGATGTAAATCAAGAAAAGATGGAACGCACTTTCCTCACTGTCACCAATTTGGAGGAGTTCATTGGGAATTATGCTCAAAATCACCTAAATCAAACCGTACCTAAGATGAACATCAGTAGTGAACATGCAGGTAAGTGGATCTTAAAAGCTGATTTGGAAGTCAGCTCTTGATTTCTAATTCAGAGTTCAGGATGAATACATGCATCATTCGTGGCAGATTTTAGAAACGTTTGCTAACGCTACTACTTATTCGACGTTTTTGGTATAAGCTTTGTCTGTAGCAACCCTCCATCGAATCATTTTCGCGACACCTGAAACGTGTTGGACCTCTTTTAAGGCAGTTTATAACAGCGAATTCCTATGGCTCATCAGTTGTCTCCAATTCCAATAATTCGTTCTATTTTATATATGTTCTTCAATATCGTCATACATATGAAGTCATAAACAGGGGAAAAATGAATAAATAAATTAAGAATATAAAAATAAGAAACCATTCGAATTCATTCCAGTGATATGTTTATGGATTTAAAAATGATCACCAGCACTTTATCTGACAATTGAATGGAGAACGCTCCTTCGACTGATGATCCCTGCAAACTACTTGCATTTACTACTTCTAAGTGATGGTTCTTCAGTCTTTAAGTCCTAAAACTTTTGAGGACGATAACTTGTTTATTTTGGCCCTCACGTAAAATAAGTCGCTGTTTTGCAATTAGATATTTTGGTCAGGAAGATTTTCCACGAAAATGAGACTGGAGTACAACTTGAGGATGATAAAGGAGAAAACTACGTCAGCCTTCCTGTTACAGGCTTCGATAACGGTTTGACAACTATCTTTTTCACTTTTTTTTTAAGCATAGAAAATTATATATTTTTCTCGTATTATTCAAATTATTTTAGCGATTATCTGTGTTCTTGGTTAAAAGGGGGACTGGGTTTAAAATACTTAAGGCATTGAAGGTGAATGGCTGATATCTTAAGCTGGTTGTTTTGGTTTTCTTTTATTTCATTTTCAGTTCATTTCTCCTTTGGTCGAAATGTTTTACTCTTATAACAAGGCTGGGCATACCAATGAAACATGCCAATAAACGCGCAAGGTTTTAAACCGTGATAACTTGTACTTTTTTCTAAAAACTCTCGAAGTAATACAATTGTTTCTATTATTTTCATCTTAGGATCAGTTGTACTTTGTGTCATTTACAAAGATCTCCATGAAGTATTCCTGAAAAAGCAGGCCGACTCTACTCCTCTCAATAGATTCAGGTTTGCTAAAACTTAGTATTGCATTTCGTATCTTATATTTCAAATTAATCTATTTTGGTTTGCTGATAACCTACGAAGGGAATGTTAATAATAAAAGAGAAACATCTTCGACCTCAGTTTGAATTTCCCCTTTGTTTTTGTTTCTTTCGTCTTGATTCTCTTTTGCTATCTTTTTATTATTTTCTCTTTTTGTCCTTTGTCGGTCCGTTTGTTTGTTTGATTGGTTTTCTTTTATTTATTTTTTTTTTCTTGTTTATTTGTCTTTTGGATATTCAACAGTAATATCTTGTCTGCAACGATATGGCCGAGGAACAACACTTTCAGAAAGAATGTTACACTGAAATTTAAAAACCTAGCGGTAAGATACAATTAATCAAGAGAGAGCTCCATCTGCATTCGTAACACTATAAAGAAATTTACACAGTGCTGATATTTCTGGAAAATTCAAGCCAAAATTTATACTTCCTTTTGCATCCCTTTGATCCATTTTTGTCTCGCTACATATTTTGTTGCTGTTGTTTGTTGCTGTTGTTGTTGCTTGTTATCGTGTATGTTGTTGATTTCGTTTGTTTGGTTTTGCTTTACTTTTGTTATTCCGTTTTTTTTTTTTTTTTTGTTTTTTTTTTTGTTTTGATTTGATTAGATTTGTCTATTTTCCTTATTATTACTATCATTATTATCAATGTTATCATCATCATCATCGCTATTCTTTTTATTATTATTATTATTATTATTATTATTATTATTATCGTTACTATTATTATCATTATTAGTGTTGGGGGGGGGGGGGTGGGGAAAGGGTTTTAAAAAAAGCCGGTGAGAGCACTCCCAACTCCACATTAGCCACCAAGTCGCTGCACTACGTAATACTAACAGTACTTTACGGTTTCAGGACGCGCCGGATGGAAGTTGCGTGTTTTGGAATACTTCGGAAAACAGGTAAACAGCTTTGAATGAATTGATGACATCGTTCACTTCAAATAATAAATTTGCTTAAGGACTTTGCTTTTATGCACTGGTACATCACATTGTGTGTTCACCTCTTACTCCTTGTTTCTCTTACTCATTCTTTTTCTCCTTCTCAGGCTTCCGCGTGTTAATGTCTATAAAACTGGCTATTGTTTTGTTTCTTATGTTCATTGACTGACTGCTTTTGACTGCTTTTTAACTGTTTTCTGGTGTAATTCTAGCTGGTCCAGACAAGGGTGTCTCCTGCTATCGAAGAACGAGTCTTACACCGAGTGTAGTTGCAATCATTTGACTCACTTTGCCGTTCTTATGCAGTTTGACAGGGGAACTAGCGATAACGGTTTAACTAAGGTAAGAATATTGCTAAGCATACATGCATTGATTTCAGAAGGCACTAAGACTAGATAGCATTGGTGTGGCACTTTTTCATAAATTTGCATTAATCCAGGTATATGATGTGTGGCACTCTTCCGTTACAAGTATTGAATCACTGTTTTTGTATTCATTTCTAAGACGGACGAAAAAGCGCTGGAAATTCTCACATATGTGGGCTTGTCTTTTTCTCTGGTTGGAATCACTTTAACAATCATCAGTTATGCTGTTCTTACGTAAGTACATGACATAGTTACACGCAAGCATTCCAAAGCAAGCCGAGAATATAGACTCAACAAGAAATGATATCAGTTTAAATGTGCATAGCTAAGATTCCTTTAAGCAGCCGAGTCGAATCATAAAAATATAACCAGGCTTTGTATAAAATGAGGATAGAACTGATGTAGAATAAAATCAGTCATTTGCTTTTGATTAGAGACATGAGGGGGCCCTTATCTCAGATTCGAGTGAGTCTAGTCGCTTCACTTGGCGCAGGTCAACTTTTCTTCCTAGCCGGAAGTGGTGCTGTTGAGAACAAGGTGAGATATTATATCAAACGAGAAGACAAGAATCTCTTTCGGTAAATCTTTATGACTTTCAACCGACTCTTAGCTCAAATTTTTCATTCCTGTGCAGTCTGCCTGTGTTACAGTAGCAGCTTTTGTTCAATATTTCCTAATGGCCGCTTTCTGCTGGATGTTGATCGAGGGAGTTTATCTCTACCTGTTTGTTGTAAAAGTTTACAACATCAACGACAAGATGAAGGTTTCACATGGATTTTCATGGGGTAACTATGAATTAAAAACCCATTCTCTCTTTGATAATCTTTTGAAAAGTAAAAGATGAAGATTGCCATCAGCATCTTAGACATCATCATCGTCATTTGACTCTGTTGTCCCTTCGAATTTCGAATCCACAGGTCTACCCGCTCTCGTCGTTTCCATATCGCTGGGCATTGCAGCAGGAACCGGGCCGGGGATTAAAAGCTATGTCAGTGAGAAGTTGTAAGAAATAAATGATTTTTTTGTCAAGCGATTTCTGTCACGAATCCTGTTTTTTTTGCTTTTTTTTTGTTTTTTTTTTGTTTTTTTGTTTGCTTGTTTGCATTGTTTTAAATTTTTGTTTTTGTTTAAAGGTTGGCTTGTTTTTGTTGTTTTGTTATTTCTTTGTTGTTTTCAGTTGTAATCAAACATGGAAAGTACTGCGTACATGCATGGGCAAAAAAGTAATTAATTGATAAATTATCAAAGTTTCGCATAATTAATTTTTATTCAGCTGCTGGATGTCATCCTCTAACGGCATGATCTGGATATTTGTTGTATTCGTTGTGCTGATTGAGTTGGTAAGTTAAATTCCTAAAGATTTTTTTTTTCATTTTCATCTTTCACGCTTTGCTTTCAGGTCTCTTTGCATCGTGAGCATTTTCCCCGCCGCTCTTTTTAACCTCTTTGACTCTGTTCAATAGTTTTCAACAAAACATGAAATATATGAAGGATACATTTTGCTTGAGGTGACCCTATCGTTGGGAGATGCCGTCAGCGGTTACTGTGCAAGGTTTTTAGGTTGAAAGTCCTGGTTCGAGTCTCTACCGGGTTATTGTGTTGTTTTGTTGGGCGAAACGTTTTGCGTTCACAATGATTTTAGCCATCTCCTCCCAGCTGTATAAATATTTACTAACGAATGGTCAAGGACACCTGAAAAATGTCTTGCGGAATGCTGGGGAAGGGGAAGGGTTAAATTTTTGACGACCATCCGCTAAGGCAAATAGGACCACTTAGCTCAAGTGCAAACTCCTGTTTCCTTTATAAAGTTTGATTGTTTTTAGATTTTGTATTTTGTTTTTTTTTTCATTCTTATCACTTTTTTCAGTTAAACACATTGATACTGGTGCGAGTTATCAAGGAAATGACGATAATGCAGCATGTAAAAGACAAAGTCAGCGAACAAATAAGGTAAGTATTTCAGCGGCGCCAGTGGTAGATTCATATAAGTCATTAGCCTCATACTTTGCTGCCTTATACGACTAATGTCAACTCACAACAATGGTAAAAGCAAATTATCTTGATTTTCTTTTTTTTTTTCTGATTTTATAGGCTTGGTGTCAGGGCATGCGTGGTGATGATTCCTTTGCTAGGGATCACGTGGCTATTTGGTCTTCTTTCGCCCCTGCATAAAGCGTTTGTGTACATTTTCACAATTTTCAACTCTACTCAGGTAAAATGAATACAGCTTTTAGGGATGAAATCCGTGCTCATACGATACCAACGTAAAAGCAAATTCTACAGCAAGTTGTACTACCCCTTCCTTACAAGTTTACCAGGTGGTAAACTTAGTGTAATACAGAGACAAAGTAGAGAACTTGTGATTAATAGCAGTAAAGGTTTGGACATTTTTGCTGCCCAGTAACGTTTAATACTGAGAGGTTTAGGGTTGGGGGGGGGGGGGGGGGGGCTTGTATGAAAGCACTTTGAATCTACTAAAGGCGTTAATGGGATTTCTGAAATTGCGATTTAACAGGGCTTCTTAATATTCCTCCTTCACTGTGTGAGAAATTCAGAGGTATGTTATCAAATGTTATTTTAAGTCTCTTTGTAAACTTTAGATTTTTGCTCAGAGTTTTACCTGGCAAGGCTTCCACTTTGAAATAAGAAATTAAATTCGATGGTTGTATATATGCGAAGCGCATAGAGTTGTACAGTTCTTGAGATCGTTTTGATATCAACTTATTCATGCAGATTAGATCTCGCTTCAAAAGAAGGATAAACGCTGTCAACCCAACTGCAGATGAAGTAACAGGCGTTAAGCGAGCTTCGCAAGTAAATGAAACAATCAGCGTGATACTGCCAAGGAAATTGAATGTCCAGCCTCCTAATAACCATGAAAGTGGCATTGGAATCTCTGAGATCTGATTCGTCATCGTAGTGTTGTTCCTTAGCTTAGATCTGTGTATATCTTAAATTAAGAAAATTTTAGGTAAGGATAACCAGCTTCAGAAGGCTCTGACAGCTTTGTATCGATCCGAAAAGTAATAAAATAACGTCTCAAGTAATCGGTATTTACGGTTTCCTCCTTGTGGAAAAAAGAGCATTGGATATAGTTGTGTTTAGAAGGTCTACATCCAAGGCATCAGTTTACAGAGTAATGAAACTATCATAAGCCACCACAAATTGTACGGCCCTCACCAAAAGGAAAACACGTTATGCATACCAATGGTAATCAAGATATTATTACTCTCAATAGAGGCAAGGGTTTAAAAAAAAAGAAAACAAACAAACAAAAAAAAAACTATGAATAGTTTTTTCTCTTGGCAGTCTCGCTTTTGCCTGTGTAGTTGTTTGAGAATTTTTCCCTCGGGAGTGGCGGTTGAGAAATATCTCTTCATTAACTCTATGAGTCTCCACTCTGATAAGTCCGTTCCTCCTGAAACACGCACGATAGCTTGAGAGTTGAGCATCGGACTTTGAATTTTGATAATGCAACTTAATCCATTCAAAAAGCTTTCTCAATTTGTCACATGTCAAAAAAAAAGACTTTATTTACTTCTTCATTTAAAAATACATGATTAATAACATTTTAATGAGGAGCGTGTAATGCCTCGATCGAATCTTTTCGCGGAATAACAGAAAGAAATTTCAAATAATCTCGATTTAAGCTTTTTGTTATTAACAAATGAACAATCAACCCTCTTTACGTTTGTTATTCTCGTGGTTTTAATTTTACTGGTTAAAATACCAACAAAAGCAACAACAGTGCCAACTTGTAGCAATTCTCAGAGAAATATAAGTTTGCACCAATTATGATCATCAAATTACGATTCATTTGTCCACCTCCTTTTGCGTAAAGATATCACAAGAAACCAACCATAAACGGCTTATCTGAACGGGAAAAACTTCAATACAAGTGTTCCACCCCCTAAACCAGGGTGCACTTGTCGACCTTTTGCCAGAAAAGTGCGAATTCCATGCACTGAATCAAAAAGAAAAAAATCCCGAGGTAAACAGCGAAGTTATTGAGTGAAATGTCGGAACAGTCCCGCAGGGCTCAAAACCCATTTACTCAATAGGAGTAGTCTGTTGGTGTTGCTAACGACGACTGGTCCTCCTGAAAACCATGTTACCACCCAAAATTCCAGCCCTCTACCCCCAAGCTATGGATAAAAACTAGCTCGTAAGAGCCAAAGAGGACTTGTGGGTTTTTTATGAAGATCCTGAAATTGAATGAGTAGGGGCGTAACTCTTAAAGAGGAAGTGAAGCGTAATCGTCCCTTTACTTCAAGGAAGCCTTGGAGGAATGAGAAAAAGTCTTGGTAGTTATTTTCGTTCGCTTCTTGTTATTTGAAGTTGTCCAAGGGTATTCAGAAAGAAAAAAAACTGGCAAAAAGGCAATGCAGATCCATATTTATTCACATGCAGATCCATTTTGAAACACAAAATTCAAATATTCCCGCAACATAGTGAAAATTTATGGAGAATGTATATATTTCATTGGCAAATTTGAGTCCCCTGATAACTGACAGTAAGGTTAATCGAATGTTTGCTTAATAGAACCTCGTTTTTCGCTTGTTCACGGCGATGCTTTTCAGGTGATAGCCGGGGATTTTTGGGATAGCATCCTCCTCCAACTTGTACTTCGGGGATGTTCGAAGCATTTCGGACTTGAGGTCCTATTCGCAACAATGTCGTTCGAAATGTTGATAACAAACGCGTAGGTCTTTCGTGACGGTGAAAGTCATTTTGGTATGTGGTTGGTTAATCTGTGTTTCAACTTTACTCATAAAAATTGGTACCTACTTAAAAATTATGCTGTGCAATACACTATAAATAAATTAATGACGGTTAGAAACTAAATTAGGTAGGTAGAAAGTATCATTCTATTCCTTCCGTGGTATTTCGTGGGAAGCATTGTGAATTGCCATATCTGAAACTATCGGTTATTTAAAACAAGTATGACGAGAAAGATCTGTATGACGAGCGCTTAGGCGCGAAACTCAGAGTCACAGAGAATCGATGCGTCCTCTTAATTCTTTAACTTATGTATACTTAGCTCTGCTACCACAGTAGTGAGCACTTTATGCCAAGGTAGACTCAACCCCCACATTTATATATATATATATATCATGTCCAAATTGAGCACTCTACTAGGATGAGTCATTGCTGCTAGCATTATGCATGCTCACTAGTTTTTCTAGTTTGAGCACTCTGGCATGGCTTAGATGATACCACATGTGTGATATCACTTGGGGTGGCTATATAGCCTCACCTCCATCCTAGCATCAGCACTGCACTGATGAGGCCCAGAAGGCCGAAACAGTACTGAAAGCTTCTCGGCCTCTTGGGTAAGGTTAAAAGGCTTATGAAAAGTTTATTTTCCTTGCTTTTGCAGCAATTGGTCAACATGGACAGCCAGGAAAGTGAAAATATCAGCCAGTTTGCTACAGATAACTCGACAGCGAATCCAGGAGACGTCGTAGACGCAAGCGTGGTAGAAGGTTCACAGTCCTGGGGCGCAGACGTGGAAATCGAAATCCCTGACGTACTAAAAAATCTGGAAAATAAGGGTGTGAAATTTCAGGCCGTGCCTTTTTTGAATGCTCCCAGTCAAAGTAGAATCACGAAGGATCGCTCTATTTATTTTAGCGTTGATACAACCGTCACATCGCAAATAATTCTCGAAGCTTTTGACGCGGCAGAAATCGATATTGACGCTATCACCGGAATCCAGAGAAAGGCGTCCAATAGATCTTGGATCGTGACTTTTAAGAGCCGTGCAGCTAAAGAAGCCGCTCTTGAAACACCTTTCGTCGTGATTGCCGGTCTCAAAGTGTTCCTGGGCGACTGCGAAAATCGTTTGGTCCTCGTCAAGATCCATGAAGCCCCCGCTGAACTACCCGACACTGCCGTGATTGGCCGACTCAGCCACTACGGTCGTGTCCTTTCATTTCGGCGCGACAAAATTGCACAACATATCGAGAATGGAGTAAGAACGGCTCGAATGGCGCTACATCGAACTATCCCTGCCAACATCAACATAGCTGGTGAACCTATCAAAATATGGTACCCAAATCAGCCAAAAGCTTGCCGGAATTGTGGAGCTACTGACCACATGGCCAAAGACTGCTCCGCAGTCCGTTGTTTTAATTGTGAATGCCCTGGGCATCGAGCTGAAGAATGTAAAGACTCGCCAAGATGTTCCGTTTGTTTAGCGGACAACCATTCCATGCCTCAATGCCCCTTCCTGCTCTTCAGCGCGAACGTCGATAGTGAGCCAACGCCACCTAAAACTGAAAAGGAAAAGGAACAAGAGCGAGCCCAGCGCGCCAAGGAAAGAGAAGAAAGGCAGAAAAAACTACAACAACAGAGAGAACAACAGCGACAACAAGAAGAACAACAGAAATTACTAGAAAAGCAGGAACAGCAAGAACAACAGAAACAACAAGATCAAGAGAAACAACGAGAACAACAACGCGACGAAGGTAGAAGAGAACGACCAAGAGAACGAAGAGACGAGCGAGGGAGGGACGATCGAGAAGAACGATCGAGAAGAACGAAGAGATGACCGGAGAGACGGCAGAAGAGAGAGAGATAGAAGCGATCGAGATTATTATCGCGGCCACGATGGCCGCGATAGATCTTCCCGCCGTGACTACTCTGGCTCCGAAACTGATGATGATGGATGGGAGAGAGTTAAACCTAGGAGAAGGCGGTACAGATATTAATTTTTTATTTATATTCAATGAGTAAGCTTAAAATAATTTCTCTAAATGTGCGAGGACTCGGGTCCTCCAGTAAAAGTCGAAAAATTATTCAAGAATTAAATTATTCAAACTGTGACATAATCCTTTTACAAGAAACACATGTCTCATGCAAAAAACAAGCGGAGGAATTCGAAATACTCTGGCGCGGCAAATGTCTGTGGTCCTTCGGGACTGGCAGGTCTGCCGGTGTTGCCATCCTCTTTTCTCTAAACTTTCCAGGCAAAATTATCCGTTTTTTGACCGATTCCGAAGGAAGAATATTGAGCTTACTCATTGACTACTATAATTCTAAACTAAATTTAGTGAACATTTACTCTCCCAATACTATTTCGGATCGTAAAAGTTTTTTCTCTTGTCTGCACAATTACTTTCTCCCCCAAGGGGACCTAGTGATCGGGGGAGACTTTAATTGTGTGGACAATGTCCTAGATAAATTAAATTGTTCCGCCATCCTATTGTCTGATCAAAAACTTCTCCGATCCCTTTGTGCTGACTTCTCACTTATAGACATTTGGCGCAAAAACAACCCGCGCAAAGTAACTTTCACCTGGTCTAATAAAGACCATACCCAGGCATCTAGAATTGACCGCTTTCTCGTCGCTAAAGGCTTAACCCTAGTAACGAAATGTAATATTCTTCCATGCGTATACGACCTATCCGATCATGACTTTGTAAAAATTGAACTAACGACTAACCCTTCTAATCACGGTCCTGGAATTTGGAAGTTCAACAGCTCTTTACTCTCAGATGTAGAATTTAAAAACATTATGTCAAAATCGATTAACAACTTTAAGCTTAAAATCCCCGAATTCGCCTCCCTTCGCGAATGGTGGGATGCTCTAAAAATTGAAATCCGCAAAACAAGTATTTCATACTGTATCCGTAAACAGAGAACAGCAAATGCCAAAAGAATCCTAATTACTAAGCAATTAACCCATGCTAAAAACGCTTTACATTCTAATCGCTTAAATAACCCAGGTGTAATTAGCGATTTGGAAAGCCAATTGTCCTCTCTGATCTCGAAAGAAGCCGAAGGAGCTAAAGTCCGCTCCCGAGCACAATGGTTCGAAGAAGGTGAGAAGCCAACACGCTATTTCTTCCGTCTGGAGAAAAAACGAGCTGACATGAATAGTTTTGAATCTTTTTTTGACGAGAACGGTGTTCTCAGAAATTCTCAAAATGATCTTGAAAGAATTTTAACCAATTTTTACAAGAATTTATTCACCCAAGATCCTCTTGATATGCGAATTCAAACTGAAAT